TTTCGTGAGAATGACCCATATATAACACTACTTAAAAAGCTTAATTTTTAACTGAGTAACCATCTATAAAATAATTTGCGAAAAGCGTAGTAGCCCTGAATATAGTAAACAACATAGCACGCATTAAAATAACAATTTTGTTACTACTGGAAAAAAAAATTACCCACAAAATGAAGCAGGTTGGCATCTCTGGTATTCACAATTCTTTTTTATATTCCCTTGCCATTATAAGCAGACAAAAAAATCTCATTTTTAAAGTCGCGATTTCGTTTTCAATTTTTATTCCATGACCCATCTAATTTCAGAAAAAGCCTCCAATTTCATTTCTTATGCATAATTTTTTTTTATCTTTCAGAAAGGTGAATTCACGTGGGATACTGGACTTCAACATATGGCATTGGGTGCTTTTTATTTTGGATACGTGATAATCCAAATTCCAGGTGGAATGCTGGCCGAAAAATATCACGCCAAACATTTCTTTGGCGTTGGAGTTCTCATTACTTCCATATTTACCCTATTAACTCCAGCTGCGGCCAGGCACAGTATTGGAGCTTTAATAGCGGCTCGTTTTATTCAAGGGCTTGGACAGGTAAGACTTCTAAACTCCTATAAACTCCTTATGCATTTGTTTATCAGTTATCAAGATCCTTCAAAACACTTTGCCATTCATTTCTTAGTTTTATATGATTCCTTCTTCCATTTAAAAAAAAACAGTTTAACCTTTTGCATTCCAAGTAATTAAATCGTTCCGGCTGTATTCACACCGGCTCGTTTCATTCAAGATTTTTCAAGGGCTTGGAAGCAGTAAGACTTCTAAGTTCGCATAAATTCTTAATGCGTGTGTTTATCAGTCCTTTAGATCCGTCTAAGCACTTTGTTATTTATTTCTTTGTTTGATATAATTCCTTCTTCTATTTGTAAAAAGCAAATCATGTTTAACATTCATTTTGCACTACGAGTACTTTAATCGTTCCTACTTTAATCGTACTGGATCGTTTTATTCAAGGGTTTAGAAGTGGTGAGACTTCTAAGTTCGCATAAATTCTTAATGCGTGTGTTTATCAGTCATCTAGATCCGTCTAAGCACTTTGTCATTTATTTCTTTGTTTGATATAATTCCTTCTTTTATTTGTAAAAAGCAAATCATGTTTAACATTTTGCACTACGAGTACTTTAATCGTTCCTACTTTAATCGTACTGGATCGTTTTATTCAAGGGTTTAGAAGTGGTAAGACTTCTAAGTTCGCATAAATTCTTAATGCGTGTGTTTATCAGTCATCTAGATCAGTCTAAACATTTTGTCATTCATTTCCTTGATGTAATTCCATCTTTTATTTGTAAAAATAAAATTATTTAACCTTTCCAACTCCGAGTAATCTAATATGCTGTTTGAGCCAAGACAAACACTAAATCTTTTAATTTTCAATCTAAGCTACATAGTAATATTTAGCTACATAGTAACATTTAGCTACATAGTAACATTTAGCTATATTTTAAATTTACTTAGTACAAAAGTTTCCTAAACTCATTAAATACTGTGGTTACTAATTATTAGGGTATAAGAATTTTCAGCTTTAAGGTGGTGACTTTCGATGTCTTTCGATGTCTACTCACAGATGATACATTCGATAATAAAAAAGTGATTTTTTTCGATAATTACAGTTTTCTATAGGACCGATATTGATTGTAAAGTGGCTGTAATAGACAATCCTATATAGGATCAAAATTGTCACAATATGGGTCCTATAAGAACATGCACCGAGGGACCAATATTGAGATGCCTAGATTTCTGAATATCGGTCCCATATAGGGCCGATATAGGACTTATCTTGGCTGAATTATGATTATAAAATATCGGGTGAATCTGACCGTTCTATATACGGCCGACATTGGTTGTAAAGTTTCTGTAAAGCATTGGGTGCAATAGAATTCTGGAAATATAATTCCATTAAATTAGTTTAAAATATAATATTAGTTAGAAATATAATTCTACTAAGATTTGAGGCCCCATCAACAGTCACGAACCTTAAAATTGAAAAACTTTTATACCTCGATAGTCAGTAACAGCAATTTTTTAAGAATTTTAAGAACTAAATTAAAATACTGTATGATGCAAATTAAATGATTTAGTGCTTTTATCAGTTCTAACAGCATTTTAAAGCACTCTGATTGAAAAGGGTTAAATTGAATGGAATGCAAGACCACCCTGAACAATTTTTTATCTACCATTTTAAAATTAAAAATATGCATTACAACGCTAAAATTAGATCTTAAATTTTATAATCTATTCTAGTGTGTATGGATTTATCTTTAATTTTTGCTCATAACAAAGTAGCACTTTGCATGTATTAAGCTGTTTAATAGTAGAAAAAATAAGTACGTTCAAATTGTACCGTGTTGAAGCTATAGTGGCAAGTTTACTCCAACTTTTATAAAATCTTACCTACCACTTTTTAAACATTTTAAATAATGTGGGTAATAAATTTTTTGAGAGCATTATTGCATACCTGCCAACTTTTACGCATTTGGCGTAAAATTTTATTTCTATATTTAAAGTGGTAGTAAAATGTATGCTTTTTAAATATTCCTTGAATTTATGGACTTATTATCGTTTTGACCATCGCTATTTTTTAAAAATTAAGCATGTATATTACTATGTAATATTGACGTGGTAGTTCGCATAATCTTTTTCAAATTACAGCATTTGTTTCTGCCTAAAATTGTAATACAAATTCAATTTTACTACCACTGGGGAAAATCATCCTCGAAAAGATTAAAAGTTGGCAGGTATGTTATTGTAATTAAATTAAGACCTACCATTGTCGAAGAGTTCCTCCTCACCCAAACGACGCACGACAGAAGCTCAATCTTATTATATGTTAAGATCATTACAAACTTATTAGAGCCACCTCATAATTAGGTTGCTCTTCAGGTAAACTTTATATGAAATATTAAACCATTATTGACCAAGTACAAATAAAATAATTATAAAATAAATCTAACAATACAAGTGGTACGTTAAATTTTAAAAAATTTATATTTTGTGGAATGTTATTTTTGCTAAGCAACATGTTAGTACATTTTGTGATTCTTACAATGCAACCAACTTTCCATGAAAAGAACAGGTGAAATCGATGTTTTGTCTCTCTTTCAACAATGTTTATAGTTATTATCAAACAACAAATATTTAAGCAATAGTTTTTGAAGTTTCGACAGAACTTTAACCTTTTGCATTGCGAATACAATATCATATTAATCGAGTAAAATATCATATCAACATACATATGGCGTAAGAGAAAAGTCGGCAATATCATTTTCGCCAATTTTTTCTAGTTTCAAAAAAATAAAATAAAAATTATTAGTAGTGCAAAACTGCTATTTTAATTACATTAAAAATTTGCGTCTCATTAAAATAAGTCAACATTTAAACACACTTTCAAAGAACCAACAGACCAACTGTACAGATATGCCTGCCAACTGCTCCGGACACGCCAAAATAATTTTTAAAAAAATAAATAACTACAAACTAAAATTTGCAAATATTTGAATAAGTTTGCTAATTTTTTAAAAGGTTTAACATGACATAACATAAATAAAGTGGTGAATATATAAGCCTACGAATTAATTAGAAATAGTGGTGAATAAAAATCTAATAAATTGAATTTATTAATCAAAGAATCACAATTAATGAACTACCACTCGAAAATATTTATTTGCTGTCCGGAGCAAATTGGCATCTCTGACTATATATTTGTTTCAAATATTTCAACGTAATTGTTGTCGAAATAATTTTAAATCACATTTATTCATATAAGAATAAAGTGTGAATATATAACTTTTGTAAACACATTAAATATGAAAATAAAATCTTTAGGAAAACCCAGAAAAGCTAGTTGATATGAAATATGCCGTTGAAACCAACACCTTCTATATCAAGCGTTGTTAAAACTAACGTAAACACGAAATTGTTTGAATTTTAAAGTACATTTTTTTTATATAATTTCTGGGACTGTTTTGCAAGATGATAAGACTCTCGTTCGTGAGAACGGGTGTTCGAATCCAGCCATCACCTCCTACATCAAGTAGTCCGCGCAGACTGTTTAAAAAGTGAGCAAGTTGTGCGCATGAACCCAAAACCTTTTGTGAAAGTAATTGAGAGAAATTTATCTTATATATTTGAGAATTGAATCTGTAGTGGTTGACAAGTCAATAAGGCAAACCAATAATATTCATAAATAAAATTAATTTTTAGTCATATATTTGCTACCACTTTCTTATTTTAACTATATTCTGTATTAAATTACTCGTTCGGTAAATGGATATCCTTCACAATGATCTGATCGGACTACCTATTAAAAACCGTGTGGAGGCTTTCAGTTATAGGAGGCGTTGTTAAATCTGTCTGGTCACAAAGTATTCCTCTGGTTGAGGTCAAAATTACGATCAGTGGATAAATGAAAGAATGCATGAATGGGTACTAGTTATTAACATACAAAGATTTCAGAGTAATGAATTTCGATTTCTACCCACGCTACTGAAAACTATGATGCTTTTTGCAAAACTTTTATAGAGTGGTAGACAATTAAAGGCTAATGTTTTCAGAATTTTTGTTAATGCTGCTACCATTAGAAACTTCACGACTAAGTTCATATAAAGTGTCGTTTTATATGAACTTTTGAATCATTTACATGTAGTGGTGTGGAATATAACTTCAAATGAAATTTATGAGGCAAAGAATTACACATAAAATCATAAGCTTACCTACCACTCGAAGAAATTTTCGTAAAAGGGATAGAAGATTCTTAGCCCTATAGCTGGTGGTAACATCGGAGGGCAAAAGGTTATAACAAACTATCCAAATCTTATGATAATGCTAATAAATAATTGCGAGTACTATAAGTACGAATAACTTTTGATCCTATGATCGGATCTTCGCTCGCTAGAACCTGGCCTGAAAGCGAAACTGAAGAAAGTAAAAACTGGTAATAGAACTACTTCAATAATATTTATTTTTAACAATAAACAATTTATGGTTATTAATTCTTTCAAGGGGAAGAAGCAATTCATTATATAAATTGTATACTTTAAAAAAAACTGCTAGTTTTGGATATTTTATTTTTCCATAAAAAAGCTGAAAATGAAATTTCATTGTTACCAGTTTTTACTCTTTTCCGTCTTGATATATATCGACTTTCAGCCCTGTCTAGAACTCATAATAGCCATACAACCATTAATAAAAAATCAGAATATGTCACTTAAACTAAAGAAGCTACTATATACAGCAATGATCCGCCCTATACTTACCTATGCCTCACCTGACTGGACAACGATACCTCAACATCTACTGAAGAAATTAAACCAATGCCAAAACAAGATCCTTAGAAAAATAACCTGTGCAAGATGGTTCATCCGGAATACCAATATACATGCAGACCTCAAAATACCAACTCTATCACAGCATATATACAAGCTAAACGCAGATTTTTTCGATAAAGCCATAGAATGTAAAACAGCAAATTTTAATGAAATCTTTAAATTTGAAAATTATATCAAAGATAAAAACTACAGACCAATAGCTGCACATTTCACCTCCGACGCCTCATATCATAACTATCAAAACAAATAATTTCATCAACCTTTCTGAAAATAACGTTTACTCATGCTGATACAATTCTGAACAACTCCAAAATCAAACAAACACAGTTTAGAGCAAGCTGCTCAATTTATTTTTGATTCCTTTTTAGTTATTCAAGCAAAGAGCTTGAAACATTCATAAAAGCAACTCCATTGCCTGCTTACCTCATTGCTCAACCAAAACTGTTCAAAAATTCCAGATGAATGGGATAGGGGCCGCTTCGCGCCCAGGTGCCCAATAGAATCTAAACACTAGGACTAGTCTAGAACTCAATCTTAATGGTTTGAGGGGGTGACCTTAAATCTGTTAAATAATCAGTAAAGACGATATTTCAAGCCAAATTTTTTTTGAAGAAATTCAACTTTTTTTAAATTTTACTACGAACTATTTCACCGATTTCACTCAAATTTCGTATTTAGCCCTGTAAAATTTCATTCCTCACAATTCAAAAATTTTTTTCGACTGTTATTAAATAAATTATTAAATATTTACACAAAATTGTATTTTGCATGGAATTATCTTTGCGTAAATAAACTTTATAATTGCGAGGAAAAAATTTTAAATTCTCTTAAAAAGTTCTCGAATTATGGAGAAATACGCAGAAAATAAATCTAACGTTAAGGGGTCCAAGGTTCAGACCTCTCTTCTGACCAAACCTACCTGCCGTAATCTCGGATTGGGACCCTATTTCCGATATTACGGCGATCCCCTATGTTTTGGGGGTCAGAAATCTCAATACGTTGAGAAAGCTAGGTTTATTCAAAGGAAATACGCTTTGGTGTCTGATTTCGTACTTTAATGTTCTTATTAATAAGCAATTTTGAGCGATCCTTCAAACCCTTAAGATTGAGTCATTGAACATGAACATCCGATCATTAGATCAAAAGTTATTAATGATCCGTATCTGTTTTTTTTTTGGGGGGGGGTTGTGCACTGTTCACATAAACAATATATATATTAAAATGGTGGTTACATAAAATGAGAATAACAAATATGATAACCTGAACCATTTGATCTAGAGAAGTACTTTTCCGTTACCACCGCCATCTATCAACCACCAAAGACGTTAGAAATAACGTTTTCACCAAGACTATCATTATACTTTTGCAAGCGTTTTTTCTATATATTTTCCAGGCTGCTACCTGGCCAGCTATGAATACCCTTATAGGACGATGGGTACCAACCATGGAAAGAAGTCGAGTCTCTGCAATCGTTTATACTGGCTGTACAGTGGGTGTTGTTGTATCATTTGCAGTATCCGGAGTTCTGTGTGACAGCGACTTTCTGGGGGGATGGCCATCTGTATTCTATGTTTTCGGTAAATTTTCATTTTCTAATAACTCAGATCCTTATAGTAAATACTTTTATATTGTCAACTCAGATACACAGCTGCATTCATAATAAATTTTGATAACTGGGAGGGAGTGTAAGTTCATGGCTAGAATTTGGAAATGTTCATCATTTGAAAGAAAATTTCCTCATACACTTCTACGATCTGCTGCCCATTATGAACTGGCTATTCGTGTGCATTTGAAAAAGCACTGTTTATTTAAATTATCTTAATTTTATGTTAATTTTACGTTCAGTAACTATTTCCTAAACTTACATTCAAATAGGTCAAAAATAGTTTTTTAATCGTTACTTAATGATTTGGCGACTATTTTGGCAACCAATTTGGCGAGCTCAGGAAGCAACTCAAATTTATAATAGAAAATTGAAAAACAAGAAAGTTTAACAAGCTCTAATGAATTAATGTTTAAAAAAACACGAGTTTAAAAGCATCAAAAAGAGTGTCAAAACCGTGACGAAATTCTAATAAAAGTATTTTAACTCTTTCTATTTCCTCTGGAATTCAATCAGGTTTCAAAGTTTTAAATTTCGTATTCCTGGTTTATGGTCTAATTTTACATTTTAAACAAAGATTCCAAAATTATAAAGCGACAAAAATTTCCATAGCAAAGCATGCCATGGAAATATATATATAAATTTATTTTTATTGATTTAAAGGCAATAACTTCAAAAAAGTTATTTGGTGACTTAAACTTCGGCACATTAAATTAGCCTATTTCCTTCTCAGGCTTAAATAAAGTCATCAACAATTCATCAGATTGCATATCGTTCTTACAATTTTTATTATTTAAAAAAAATACAGTCATCGGATTCTTTTTGTATTACATGCAATAGCTTTCTCACTAACATCTTAAATAGTTATACATACCTGCCTACTTTTAATTACTTCCATCAAGCTTTTTCCCAGTGGTATTAAAATGGAATTAAATTTTCAATTGTAAGCAAAAGAATACGTTGTATTTGAAAAATCATCAGTTGACAACCATGATAGTAATACATATTAATATATATGCTAAATTTTTTTACGAATACTGGTAATCAAAAACAGTTTAAATTTAAATTTATAAAATAAAAAATAGTATATATTTACTACCACTTTAAATATAAAAATATTATATTGCGCCAAATGCGTAAAAGTTGGCAGGTGTGGTTATATACTACCTACAATGTTTCCTTTTACTAAATTTTCAGAGATGCCAACTTGTTCCGGACAGCAAATATATATTTTAAAGTGGTAGTTTATAAATTGTGATTCTTGGTTTAATAAATTCAATTCAGTAGATTTTTATTCACCACAGTTTCTAAATAATTCGCAGGTTTATGTCTTTCACCACTTAATCGTAATTATGGGAATTTCCTCTTACTGTACTTATCGTGTATATATTTAACCCAGACAACGTACCCTTACGTTTATTTTGTGCTGATTCATGCCTTTTACCTTTATTCACTCGAAAATCGAGTATCTTTTTCTGGCCCTTAAAAGGGCCTTTTATATAGACGATTTTAATATATTTTATATATGCGATGTATATTACTGTATTCTCAACCAATGTTTATCATCACATCCTTGTTTATCGTGTATTTTAATCTAACTTAGACTGCGTTTAATTACGCTCAACCCATTGTTTAATCACTGTTCTACTCAGCACGTATACGCTTGCGTAACCTCTCTAACCCCTTTCCTCCCTTATTCTGCATTAAATCTTAGATGAAGGTGTAGATAGCCCTTCGAGCTAGGAACACCGTAAGACATAGTTTATATCGGTATATCGGTAGTAATTATGTTATGCTATGCCTTTTAAAAAACAAGCAATAGTGGTCAAATTTTTGTAAAATTTACATGTAGTTATTTACCGTTTTTGTTAATTATTTTGACGTGTCCGGAGCAGTTAGCATCTCTGCATTTTTAGCAAGAAATCTTAAAAAGTATATATTTGGAACTGTGAATACGGTTTATCTTGTATATCTTGGCTTTTCAACTATATGGTGCAAAAAGCGTAGTACCACTGAATGTTTGACCTCTCAGAAAAACCAACTAAAGTAACTTTCTTTAGGTGCTATTGGATGCATATGGTATCTTTTCTGGCATTTTCTAATTTACGAACGACCAGAAGATCATCCCCGAATAACTAAAGCCGAGCTAGCTTTGATAAAAAAGGGACAGAGTGAAATCATTCAGAAAGAGGTAACTTTACATTTTTTTATAACTTTACATTATTTTATAATAGCTAAAGTGTATCAATAGACTACAATGTTTTTCACTCTTTTCAGCTCGTCATACCTTGGAAGTCTATCCTAACATCACCTCCAGTGTGGGGATTAGTTATCGTACACTTCTGCCAAGACTGGGGAAATTACACGTTACTCACTGAAACCCCTCTTTATTTGAGTTATGCTCTGCATTTCGATATTGAAAAGGTAATCAACGTTACTCACTGTTAACCCCTCTTCATTTGTGCTCTGCTTTTCAATATTTAAAAAATAAGCAACGTTACTCACTTAAACCACTCTTTATTGAAGTTATGCTCTGATTTTTGATGTTAAAAAAATTAGCAATGTTGCTCACTTAACAGTACTTACAGTACTCAGTAACAGTACTCACTTAAACCCCTTTATTATTTGAGCTACAAATAATGAGGGGTGTGACTGCATTTCGATACCCAAAAAATAATCAATGTAGCTCACTAAAACCGATCTTTATTTGGTTTATGCTCTGCTTTTCGATATTCAACGGCTAACCAACTGCAATCGCATGATATATAAAAAATTTATTAAGCGGTAAACAATTTACATTTAACTAGTAAAAAAAACTTTAATTTAATTCAAAGCTAACAAAAATTAACCCTTTCCACTCGAGAGGTGACTGTCAGTCACCACTGTCACCTGTAAATTACCCACCACTCTAAATGTGAAATTATTTTCACCTTAATGTTTAGTTACCACTTCATTCAATGATCTCCGGGTATTAAGTTTGTGAAAAGTCTTTCAAAATGTTAGTGGTTGAGTCCATTCTTTTAACAGCTGGAAGAACTTCGAGTGAAAAGGGTTCATTTTAATTTAAAAACAACATCGTTAGAAACTAAATGGATTTACTTACATTTTTCACATGCCGTGATAAATTAAAATAACTCGCTTCCTCCAAAAAGGGGGGGAAATATCACTCATCTCCTACCATTACTTTATTTTTAATACGACGCTATGACCACTATTAACCCTTTCGCGCCGACTGTCACAAATACGTGACAGCATGAAACCGTATCAATCAGGGTAAAAAGATAAAGCTGGTAATCAAAGTATTTCTTTAGCAGTTTATTTGTGGGCGGAGTTATAATTGTTTGACGTGAAAAGCTTTTTTGTAAATTTNATTTAAAAAATATAAGTCACAAGATCTATAATTTTATGTATTTAACAGATTTTGACTTGTAGGAATATTCAAACTTTCCCATTAGTAATCACTAAAAATAAAATATTTGAGATATTAGTCTTTAACATTTTGCAAAAGGGACATGTCCCAAAAATAGAGCATTGGCATTTGAACGATTAGTATGCATATGAGAGATACAACAGCCAACAAACAAAACTATAAAAGTGATAAAATATTATTTCATTAATATTCACTTTCTCGATTCAATTATACATTAGATTTAACTATATTTTAACTATCACTGTACTTAAAAATGTCAAGAATATATGTTTAGATCGGAAATCTTCCTAGCATTGTTTATACAATAATTTATTTAAAAAACTCAAGGTGTCAAAAAATCAAAATCATTTTGTTTATGTTACTTTTTTTTGAAAATTTACAAATGTTTTTTTTTAATACCATTCTTTGCAATATTTGGTGCGAGCATCATATATATATATATATATATGTATTCCTATTCTACAAACCCGTCAATCCCTGCAAAATTCTTCCTTTTTTTCTATGATTGCAGGGCTACCAACTTTCTGCGCTTTATGTGAAAATTTCTTCGAGTGACAGTGAAGTTTATGTTTTAATGTATTTGTTTTTATTCATTTAAATTTATTTCCCACACCACTAAACATAAATTATTTAAGAGTTCATATGCAGCGCCACTTTGATCCAGCTCTCTCGAGGTGAGGCTTTTAAAATGTTGGCAAAATTACCAAACATTCTGAAAGTTTCGATTTTCAAATGTCTATCACTCCATGAAAATATGTTTCAAAAAGCGTAGTAATTGGCTGGCTTGTGATTGTTCTAAGCTAAGTGAAATTAATTTCGATTTTGCATGAAATAATGAATTTTTATTTTCCAGAATGGCTTGTTGTCAGCTCTTCCCCAGATAATGAGTGCTATTATGGCTTTTATTGCAAGCATTGTTGCTGATAAACTTCGGCAGAAAGGACGTTTCGGTATCACCAGTATTCGAAAAGTCGTCAATTCCATTGGTAAGTATTTCACTAACAAAGGCTGGTGGTTGCTTTTTCCACTTTAAACAACGGAATCTTTATTTATTAAGACTATTTTATATTTTTGAGTCTTGTTTATTAATCTCTTGTCAGCATTGAAATTGAATACATTGAATTGCAAAGGTGGCCAATTTTTAGCTCCTCACGGACTACCAAGCATTTAAACTCTAGTTTGATTATAAGAAGTTTTCTTACTGATTAACCCTTAACCCCTTGCTAACAGCAAATCTTTGTTATAAATTTTAATCTAGCAACACATTAGCAACTGCGACCTCAATCAGGGCATGTGTTACTGTGAATGACCGAAAGTGGTGAATGTTGACAATGACATAGTCACTTTGGTGAATGTTTGAAATATATACAATGTCTAGTTAAGTGCCACTGCCCGGTATACCCTACAGTGATGTTTTTTAAGGTTCAGGGTCATTGCCCGGTATTCATTTGCCCGGCATAGCCTACACAGATGTTTTTTAAACACGTTGAATGCCATGCTAATTTTACATGGCTTGCCCGTCTGGCTAAACGGTAAATACCTACGTACAATATTTGCAAATTTTATTTGACAAATTTTGCTAGTTTTTTAACAGGTTTAGCAAGACTCATCTGAAAAACATTTTTTAAGAGGTTTAGCAAGACTCATCTGAAAAACATTAGTGAATTATATGAGCCTACAAATTGTTTAGAAATAGTGATGGATAAAAATCTACTAAATTGAATTTATTAAACTAAGAATAACAATTAATAAACTACCACTCGAAAATATTTATTTGCTGTCCGGAGCAAGTTGGCATCTCTGAGTATATAAATAACACTATTTTTGTGTGTTCTATATTGCATTATTTTCCTCAAACCACTTTCGTAACGATAATAATATAAAAAGATTAAAAATTTACTCGAATTATGTTGTTTCTAATAATCTTGGCTTCGCCGGTGACCCCCGTGGAGCTACGAACAAACTCAGTACCGATCACCGGTGACCTCCGTGGAGCTACGAACAAACTCAGTGCCGGTCACCGGTGATCCCCATGGCATTCAACATGTTAACATGCTACTGAACTAAGCCAAATAGCTGTAACTTTAACATGCCATCATGCCAGCGGATTTCATCGGTTCTCGAGTTAAAAATAATTTGCATAAGAAACTATATTTTGTGATGTTTAGCCGTAATATTGTTTATTAGTTCTTCCCTTTTTAGTCACCTTTTTAAGTATTGCCAAAGAATCTATTCAAATAGAATGATGAGAATACTAAAAAAAAAGGATTCTTCGTATTCAAAAAATCTTTTTTTTTTTACTTTTTCTATAATTATAATTAGAAAAACCTCATGGAATTTCTAAGTTTTTTTCATTTGCAGTTCTTTTGTTTGAAATGCTTTTTTTACTTAACTTTCGTTTTAAATATTCTTTTTTAATAATAAGTACTTTTTTATATTAACATTACTTTTATTACTGATTTTTTTGTACCAAGCTAATTTTTTAGCTTCTATGTATATGAAATATGAAAATAACCGCCGAATTTCAATCGGTGTTGTTGGAAAATGATCAGATTTCGGAAAATTATATAAATTAGTTTATCTTAAAATAAAGGATAATTCTAAAGAGACTTTATTAAATGTTTATCTCAGGCTAGGTCCTCTAGAGGTTGGATGTAAACTTTTATTTTTATCACTGTATCTACTAACACATTTTAATGTGAAGTAAACACTCAATTAATTTTCAAGTTCACTTCTTGTGTTTCGACTAACCGTTGTAGTTTTTAAATCTATATTAAAATTTATTTCAAACATTACTGGTAGAAAAATTAAAACTTTTAAGTTTATTTTATTTCAAAATTTGTATTCCATTTTTATTTCAATTTATACATTACATACTCATGTCCCATTATTCCTAATGCTTTTCAACTCCAAATCTCAAACTTCGATTTAAAAAGTATGCAAAAAATAACGCATTTAATTTGAAATAAAGGTGAAAATTAGTTCAATAGTAGTGAAACTTGTGCAAAGAATTACATATGAGCAATAATTACGCACTTTGGAAATAGTTTCTCTCTTGCGAACTCTTTTCGGAAATGATTTTTCCCAGTGGTAGTGAGATTACAATATGAATTTTTTTTTATTTTTCCTATTCAAAAACTTTTCATTTTTTATATTTAGTAATTTTTGAATTTATATAGAAATTCAAGATATAAATAAACGAGCACATCAGCATGCATATAAATTAAATTTAAGGAAGTCTAATCCTTATTTAATGTGTTAAAGTTAAAACACACTATCAGGGAAGTCAAGGACAGCGAAATTAATATTATTTATTTATAAACTCTTCAATCAATTGTAACTATCACTATAAGTTACATTTCAAATTATTCATATTTAAATTGAAATCTACATATCATACCAGAGATGCCAACTGCTCCGGACACACCAAAATAATTTTAAAAAAACGGTAAATAACTACAAAGTAAATTTTGCAAATATTCGAATATTTTTGCTTGCTTTTAAAAAGGTGTAGCATAACATAACAGAAAAAAGTGGTGAATTATATATGCCTACGTACTGTTTAAAAATAGTGGTGGATAAAAATCTACTTAATTGAATTTATTAAACCAAGAATCGCAATAATTAAGTAAATTTTGAATACATTTTCTGCAATTCCATAAAAGAGTGTAAATTTTATAGTTGTATATCATNCAAGAATCACAATTCATAAACTACCATTTTAAAATATATATCTCTGTCATTCAACAAAATTAATGTCCGTGACATTTTAATACACGTCTATACATAAGCAGATGTGTCGATTGCATAACTGCCAACTTTTACGCATTTGGCGTAAAATTGTATTTTTATATTTAAAGTTGTGGTAAATATATATTATTTTTTCTTTTATAAACTTAATATTTAAAGCATTTTGATCACCACTATTCTTAAAAAAAATTAAGCACCTATATTTATATGCGGTACTATCGTAGTTCTCAGTTTAAGCTTTTTCAAAAACAACATATTCTTTTGCGTAAAATTGAAATTTAAATTCCATTTTGATACCACTGGGGAAAATCATAATGGAAGCGATTGAAAGTTGGCAGGTATGCGATTGGTGCCGTCTTCAAAATTCTGTATGCATGTGCCTTAAATAATCACGCGTATTGACGTTCTTATCACAATTAACATCTACCTGCATGAGGTGGCAAAACGATTTATCTATTGTTATTATTTTCCCTTTTTGACTCACTTTTGTAATATTGCCAGGCCAGCCAACTTCTTCTCTTTTTTTTTCAAAATAAACCATAGAATGGTAGACATTTAAAAACCAAAACTTTCAGAATTTTTGGTGATTTCTCCAACATTTTAAAAGTCTCAGCACAGAGAAGTTGGACTGGTAGAACTGGGCACCTGATTATTATAGCTAGCTGTAAAGAAAATAAGCTTAAATGAATAAAAAGTAATGCATTAAAATATAAACATAGCTAACGCTAGAATAAATGCTTACAAAAAACGTAGAAAGTTGGCAAGCCTGTAATACTAATCTAACTTTGTTGTTAGCATTTATGTTTGTGTTGTCCTTTTCTTCTTCTCTTTTCACGTCTCATATTTTTTTCATTTACACATTGAATGCCACCCTAATTTTACACGGTAAACAACTACAAACTAAATTTGCAAATATACACAGATTTTGCTAGTTTATGAAAGGTTTAGCATGACATAACAGACTGGATCGTGTAATTTTGGCAAGGTACCTGCCCGCGCAAGCGGGCACTAGACCTCTGATCTGTGTTATGCCCTAGGGCGACTGAGACTTATGGCATTGGAATCATGACATAACAGAAAAAAGTGGTGAATTATATATGCCTACGAACTGTTTAAAAATAGTGGTGGATAAAAATCTACTTAATTGAATTTCTTAAACTAAGAATCGCAATAATTAAGTAAATTTTGAATACATTTTCTGCAATTCCATAAAAGAGTGTAAATTTTATAATTGTATATCATGTTATACGCTGTCAGCCAGCTGTTTTTCGCTGCCTTTGTGAAAGGTCAGTGTCAGCAAGCGGTGGCAGACACAGTCTAAATGTAATTTCAGTGTCAGCCACCGGTGGCAGACGCAGTCTAAATGTAATTTCAGTGTCAGTCACCGGTGGTTGAAGCGGCCTAAATGTAATTTCTGAGTCAGTCACCGGTGGTTGACGTGGCCTGAATGGAAAGTCCAGTGTCAGCCACCGATGGCTGCTCGGCGCTCAACGTGTTAATCTCTGATGAACTACTAACTTCATTTTAATTCACTCTTTGAGTCGGCAATTATCACATAAGTACTGAGGTGTCTTCGTTGGTACAATGTTCGTGCTTTCTATTCTATTTGCATTCTATTTCTACAACAAATTGAAAAACACATGTTGGAAAAAGTTTCTAATTTTAATCTCTTTTAATAAAATTTTGGATTTTATTAATCTCCTCTTTTTGAGTTTTTAGTCACCTGTGGCAACGCAGCGCTCTCAAACGATAATCTAGCGATGACAGCTGATCCGATTTCTATCTAATAATTTAAAAAAATAGCTCAGAACTATTAACTAAAATTTGCTGATTTTTGGTTAATTTTGCCAATTTTTAAAAGGCTCTAAACGACGTTTTAAATAAACATTTGAATTATTTAAAAGAAAATAATGTATTAAAAACCTATACATCGAATTTACTAAACCAAGTATCACAAGCAAAAATGTCTACCAACTTTTATACACTTTAAAAAAGTGTTTTCTTAGTAGTAAAGGGAAAGACAATTAAATTGAGACAAGATTGTTTTGGCAAACTTAAACCTTTTGCTCGAAGAGTGCAATATATCATACTACCCTTGTACAATATCAGATTAATATAGATATCGCGGTGCGATAAAAGTTGGTAATATCACATTCAGAACTTTTACTAATTTAAAATGCCACTTTAATTCACATTATAAGTTCGTCTCATTAAAATTAAGCAGACCATTAATTACATTTTCAAGTTTCTACTAAGCCTATTATATATATGTGTCTAAATTATATACATGTATTGGTAACCACAATCTTTTTAAACCGCATTTATTTAAAAAAGAATAAAATCTGATTATGAAAATTTTGCCACTACATTGAATATAAGAATAAAATCTTCTGGAAAAGAAGGCTGGTATAATATATATATATATGTGTGTGTGTGTGTCTGTGTGTGTGTGTGTGTGTGTGTGTGTGTATATGTATATGTATGTATGTATGTGTGTGTGTGTAAATCGTTCTAGTATGATGGTGGTAAATCAAATTTAACATCAACTTTTTTCGCCTCTCCAATTAGGTTTCTACGGTCCAGGAGCCTGTCTCCTGCTTGTGGCTTTTGTTGGATGTTCTCCCACAACAATCATCATTCTTCTCTGTCTAGCTTTGGGCTTCAATGGATTTATCTATTCTGGATTCAATGTAACTCATGTTGATATGAGTCCAGAGTTTGCTGGTGAGTTTATTTGAACTTATATCGGACTGCGAGTATGCAAAATGTTGTAGTTGTTGTTTTGAGAATATTGTAGACAGTAATTTTTAAGCATTTTTAGAGGCAATGTTTTCATCAAATTAGTAATTTAATCCTAAGGCTTCAAACAATGATTCAAAAATAAAAATCTTTCTAGATAGAAGTCTGTTTGAGGATGGGTCACCAGGCAGTGGTGTCATTATACTAGATATTAATAGTACTAAGATCAAAATAAAAAAAGCACTTTACACTTGCCAGTTTTCAGAGCGAACTGATTGCTGCACATGCAATACTAAAAGGTCTCACTAACACTAACCCCTTTAAAATAATTTTTTACATTAATTTCCAAACAGCAATCCTACTCCTTAACAAATGTTTCACCAGTCCTGACATAGTCCTTAAAAGAATAATCTGCTTTATGATTGGTTTTCATAAGGAATCAGATCTAGTTTTCCAGAGGATCCCATGACTTGTTGAAACTCCAAGAAATGAAAGGGCTGACGCCTTGACGATAACCGGTGCCAAAACCCTATCTGGAACTAAAGAGACTAATGGCACCTCTTTCTGAAAATGTTTCCAATTTGTTTCCAACTTTTTCATTTTGAGAAAGAAACTAGAACAGCGCCAAGGCCCCAGCTTGTCATTGGTATGCCAACAAATCTGCAGGTGAACTTTTGAATTATGAGTTCTTTTGAAACATCTCTTGTAAACTTTCTTTACTTGAACTGATCATTCAATAGCATGATATTTGAAAATGGAATGAAAACTTTTACTCCATGCTCAAGGTGTAACAGACCATCAGTAGCAAATCCTGGATTGCTCCAACATTACTGTGAAGGATCTTTTTCTAAAAACATCAATGGTTGACTCTATGTTTATGTTACACCTGGTTTACAGCTAATCTAAATCAGAAGGACAAGTCCTACCCCACCCCCGTCCTGTCAAGTCCTACTAGCCACAGTAGTTCAATAAATCAATCATAGACTCAAAAATATCCAAATGTGATTAATTAAATTTCTGATAAGATATGATATTAGTTATAATCTAATATATATAATTCTCTTACGTGGCTCCCAAATTTTGGCTGTATTTCCTTTCCGCTGGTGGCAACAGTTTTCATTTTTAAAGTACTTTGTACAACTAAATAAGATTCTTTTCACAACACTTAAATATTTACTTTATTTTCTTCATATATACAGAGAACAGTCGGCAAAGAATTCTGTTAGGTTAAAAAACATTTCGCTAAAAAAAGAACGAATTCTAAAATAAATAAAAATAAACAACTTAAAAAATAAAAATGCTGTTGCCAGCCATAGAATTTTTTGAAAGTTAACTTAGCAACATAAATCAAAATGACATAGAAGCGCAACTAGATCAAAATTATGATACCTGAGCGCTTGACGTAACAAATCCTTCAATTCTATAAGTGTTGTATCGCCAAATGCCCAAATTAACAATTGTGTTTTTAAAGAAATTCTATAAAAAGTTTTAAATAAACAACCTACTTCTACAACTGCTTCTTGAAGAACTTGGCTCATTGATTAAAAATATTGTTTTAATTTTACAGTACTAACTTTACTTCTACTTTCATTATTGCTATGACCCTCTTTCATTACATTTTACAACTTCATGCTAAATTTGAGGACTTTAAGTTGTTTTGTGGTTGAATACTGACATTTAGAAATGTGTACATAAAAAAAATAATATTTAGAGGTTAAGAGTTGCCTCAGAAAAATTTGAATTGTTGACATTGAACTTAACAATGGAAACAATCGTTTTTGTGAAAAATTGAATTGTATTGTTGACATCAAAACTAAAAATATTGTGTTTCAACTTAACAATACTACCTTAATTTATACTTTAGAATTGCCTCGGAGAAATTTGAATTGTTAGCAATGACTTAAACAAAAAGTTTTATTTTAACTGACAAATACTATATTATAATTTTAACTTTTTCTATGACTATACTCATTTTCTTACTCTTTTCTTTGTTTTTTATACATTTTATATTTTTGTGATAAAATAAAAAACTTATAGTTGTTCTGCTTCTGAACACTGATGAAAACACAAAATGATGGGCTTCATCAACAATCAAAAATATATACATTTATTTTACAAATTCCCTATTATTAGGGGGGCGCCCTTCAGAGAATTAAAAATACAAAATTATCTTCATCGAAGCCGATGCTTTACATCCGGCGTTCAGTGGCAGACTACTATTTCATATTGTTTTACAACACATGGCTTTAGCCCTCTGGTGGGAAAGACTTTGAAACAAAATTTACAACAGTTACTTTTCTCACCAACTGAAATTTAGAATAGTGTGATTAAACAAATTATGTGAACTGTTTGCAATTTCAAATTAACATTGAAATGTACAGGTTTAGAATTTTCTACAGTGAAAAGTTTTCGGAACTTCAGTATTCAAAACAGTATGCAAAAGCTAGACGTTAAGAACGTATCCAATGAGCGAGCATTGGATTGCGAAGCAATCCGAAATGAACTGCGAAAGCAGTTTAGGGGGATGGCGAGTGCCAGCGAGCAGTTGGCGAAGCCTCCTAGTATAATTATAAATATTTACCAAATTGTTGGAAAATTACGTGGGTAAAAAAAACCACACTTACATTGCACGATTGCTATATATAATTTATATAATAAGATTACTAATTATGCATAAATTATGCCTAAATGTTGAAAAATTACATCGGAGGAAAGAGTCACACTTCCATAGCAAGATTACTATAGTTTGTACATTTCCCGCGAGATTTGTTGATAACTATGCAAAAGTGGAGAGTTGTGTCACATTTGTACAATGAGTATTGTTTTTAAATGTTTTTAGGTACTCTGATGGCTGTAACAAATACTGTGGCAAACACAGCTGGGTTTTTAGTTCCTATGTTCACTGGATACATCATAAAAGATGGAGTAAGAAATATTAATCATTCTTTAATACTCTGTGGTCAATTTTAGTTATTCTATATAATTGCAGTGTCCGTGAAAGCACACACCCTATTTTTTAGTGTTTCAAAGGGAACTTTAAATAATAAAAAAGTGATAGGGCATTTACCCTTGAAAATATATATTAGGTCTACCAAAGTCATAGGACAGATAAGTTTGTTTCAAGTTTGAATATGTATTTATACTTTATTTTGAGCCTTATTTGGTTGTGCCATTTTGTATTCATAGATTTAAGTGTAAATTCCCTACCACATTTTTTATACAAGTACTTTTTTGAACTTTTGTGAACAAAATTTCCCAGTACAGGGATCTCCCACAGCAATATCGCCCTTCAAACGCAGTGGGAAGCGTGAAGGTGACGGATTCGAATCCCGTCGTAACCATGGTTGTATTCGTTGTGATTTCCTTCTTTAAATTGTTCTAACTGTCCTTCCACTTGACAAAAGTTTATAAGCCTAAAATTGAGCAAACGAGCCTGCAAATGTATGTAATTTCAATAAACAATACCAGGTAAACCTCATATTAATTTCACTATATCTATCTATAAGAGAAGGTTAAACCAAAAACCCCCCACTGAATAGAGCTCTAGCTGCATACACTACTACCCCACTCAGATGAATGAGTTAGGGTCCCTGACGGGGCCGATACTTAGGTAACCAAATCACATAGGCATAGGTTAAACCAAAAATAAGAAAAGAAAACTTTTAATAACCCTCTATAGGGCTTACTTTTGAGAGGTTGCAACGAGTTCAACTGTGGCATGCAGCAACACATTATGCTTGCTCGTAATTCAGTTTTAATTGAGAACCATCTTTATTTTATTCCTTGTAGTCAACTTTCTTAGCCCTATCTGTTAAAATTTAGCAATCTTTTTCAATACTTTGTTCGCAGATTGCCTTATAAGCTAAAATCCAAAACTCTTTTATTGTTTACAATTACATTAACGTCCATTTTCACGTATAATAAACGCCATTTACGGTTCTAAACGTGTACAATATTAATTGCAAGTTCTTTTTCTCGTTGTTTTTATAACGTGTATACCGAATTTCATCGACAACCCAAACTGACACTATGCTTGTCTGAACAAGTAAATTTAATTCACCTTGTAATTGAATGGCCTTGATATTCGTTATCATGGTGTGATCATAAAAAAAACTCCAACAACACCTTGATGTACTTAACCCAAGCCTACCAACTACTACGCTTTTTGCAAAATATTTTATAGAGTGGTAGACATTTAAGAGTCATTAATTTTTGTAACTTTGCTCTAATTTTAAACGCTTTAGCTCTAAATAACTGGTACAAAGTGGCGTTGTATAGATAATTTTAAAGCATTAATATGTGTGCAAAATAAGTTCAAATGAATAAAAAATAATACATTAATATATAAACTTAGATACCACTAGTATAATTTTTTATAAAAGGCATTGAAAGTTGGCAGCTTTGACTTAACCCTTTGCACTCCGAGTCCTTCAAAATGCTGTTTGATCTAATGTAAGCTCTAAATCAATTAGTATACACAATACGGTATTTTTATATAATTTTTAAATTGTTGTGGTCACTAATAATTGAAGTATAAAAAACTTTTAATATTTGACTGATGACTGTAGATGCCACTTCGGAAAAGACATCGGAGTGCAAAGGCTTTTCTTCCACTTAGACAAGATCAACACTCCACATGCTCCGACCTGTAATTACTTTACACTTGCGCAGTATCAATCTAGGTAAGAAGAACAATATACCACTGGAGAAATAATTAATGAAACAATTTCTTTCACACTTGCATAAGTAATTCAAAATATAAAATTTTAAAAATAGTGAATTCAAGAATACCTTACGTAAACAATGAAGTTTCAAATGCTGAAAATATATTTTTTAAGTATCAAAATTTTAATAAATAATTGCAGGATTGCTAACTCATTGCGCAAACAAGATTAAACATGCATTTTTTTACATTTTTTGCGCCAATTTGTTTACTTTTGATATTTTGAAAACATTTTTTCAGCATCCGAAACTTTATGGTTTAATCTGGAATCCAGAGCGGCTGGATGCTGGGGTTATCTCGGCGTTTGGCGCGAAGCGCCACTAACCGATTCATCGATTCTGTTTTGTTGTATTCTGGGAGATCCTATATATCTTTGAAGTTGTAGTATGACTCCAGAGCGGCCAACTCTCTGCGCTTTTTGTAAAAAATTGTAAAATTGTTCGAGTGGTAGCGAAGTTTATAGTTTAATATATAATTTTTTATTCATTTAAACTTATTTTCCCGCCACCAGATATAAATGATTTAAAAATTCATATGTAACTATCCCCTTTTTTTCGATCTCTTTCGTGATGAGGCTTTTAAAATGTTGGCAAATTTACCAAAAATTCTGAAATTTTTGAGTTTTAAATGTCTACCACTCTATGTAAAGTTTTTCAAAAAGCGTAGTAGTTGGCAGACCTGAGGTTCACGTGAACACGCTTTTCTCTATACTTTAAACTTCAAATTACCAATAGAGTTGGAAAAGAATTTGTTATGAAAAGTTTCTCTTGGGTTATAGCGTCCTCTTATATTGACGATGGAAGTTAATAGGACGGAGAGGAATACAAAAAAGTTTCATAAACTGATGTTTAAAATGTCTTTTTCTTTTCAGAGTACTCTTCAAAACTGGNAGCAAAATTTGATTGATTTTAAAGAAAATTTGCTTAACCGATGGCAGAAAACTCAAAAAATTGTTCAAACAATTTGGAAAAATTGGTGTAACTCTTATCTCAGTCATTTACAACAAAGATCAAAATGGTTGTTTCAAAAACAAAATGTAAAACCAGGTATGATGGTTCTGGTAAAAGAAAGCAATTTACCTATATGTAAATGGGTTATAGGACGAATTTCTGAAATTATCACCGGTAAGGATGATAATGTCCGTGTGGTTTTCGTACGCACACCTCATGGAATTTTCAAAAGAAGCATTTCAAATATTGCTGTATTACCAATTGTTAACAATACTTAAATTTATATGTTGAATTCAAAATGTGAAAAAATAACTGTATTAATATTGCTTAAATTTGTATTTTTATTATTATTTCTATTATTGTTATTTTTATGATTATTGAAACATTCAAATGTCAGAATATTTCAATGGGGGCCGGGATGTCCGCGCCCTCATTGGCGAGATTGTAATGCGCCAAGCGTAGCTTTCTAACATTCTTTTCTCATTCAATAAAAAATTACCAAACGTTACAGTCCACTAGACTCTATTAGCTCCGACAAAGATCAACACTCCACGTGCTCCGATCACTAATTACTTTACACTTGCGCAGTATCAACCTAGGTAAGAAGAACGATATACCACGGGAGTAATCATTAATGAAACAATTTCTTTCACACTTGCATAAGTAATTCAAAATATAAAATTTTAAAAATAGTGAGTTCAAGAATACCTTACGTAAACAATGAAGTTTCAAATGCTGAAAATAATTTTTTTAGGTATCGAAATTTTAATAAGTAATTGCAGGATTGCTAACTCATTGCATACCTGCTAACTTTTAATCCCTTCCATTATCATTTTTCCTAGTGGTATTAAAATGGAATTAAAACTTCAATTTTAAGCAAACAAATACGTTGCATTTGAGAAAAATTAAGTTGACAACCATGATAGTAACGCATATTAATATATATGCTTCATTTTTGTAAGAATAGTGGTGATCAAAATCATTTAAAAATTAAGTTTAAAAAAGAAAAAATAGTGTATATTTACTACCACTTTAAATACGAAAATAAAATCTTCCGGAAGAGTTGGCAGGTATGCAATTGCGTTCACAAGATTAATCATGCATTTATTTACATTTTCTGCACCAATTTGTTTACTTCTGATATTTCGAAAACATTTTTTCAGCATCCGAAACTTCATGGTTTAATCTGGATTCCAGAGCGACCAACTCTCTGCCCCTTTTGCAAAAAATTGTTCGAGTGGTAGCGAAGTTTATATTTTAATATATAATTTTTTATTCATTTAAACTTATTTTCCCGCCACCAGATATAAATGATTTAAAAATTCATATGTAACTATCCCCTTTTTTTCGATCTCTTTCGTGATGAGGCTTTTAAAATGTTGGCAAATTTACCAAAAATTCTGAAATTTTTGAGTTTTAAATGTCTACCACTCTATGTAAAGTTTTTCAAAAAGCGTAGTAGTTGGCAGACCTGAGGTTCACGTGAACACGCTTTTCTCTATACTTTAAACTTCAAATTACCAATAGAGTTGGAAAAGAATTTGTTATGAAAAGTTTCTCTTGGGTTATAGCGTCCTCTTATATTGACGATGGAAGTTAATAGGACGGAGAGGAATACAAAAAAGTTTCATAAACTGATGTTTAAAATGTCTTTTTCTTTTCAGAGTACTCTTCAAAACTGGGGATATGTGTTCATAACAGCCTTCGCCATCTTTTTCTTTGGTGGAACAATATTTAACTTCCTTTGTTCTGCAGAGTTGCAAGAATGGAAAACGACCGGTGATAAATCAGACACCAATGGAGATAACAGAAGCATTGCCTCTCATCAGACCGATCAACCCTTCAGCGAGGAACAAAGAGAAGTTTTCCGCTTCAGGAGGATGAGTTTTACTGTATGAGATTTTACGAACGCAACTATCTCAACTGATAGCATCAGAAACATTGCATGGATTTTAATAAATTCATATCATATGAAAATAGGAGGAGCTGGAAACGCTACGCATTTATATCCGCATTTTTGGGAAAAATGACTTTTATGTAAATATTATTTCTCATTCTGGTAATGTCTCCAATGCTGTTTAGAATTATAGACCATTTGGATTAGGACTGATATGGAAAAGATGGGCAGATAAATGGCCTCAGGTTGCTTTCATGAAACAAATGGCAAATTAAAGAGAATTGGACTGTGTAGTAATAAACCATCTCTTTTCTAAAGGTAACATTATTAGAGATTGGCTGTTGAATAGCTTACTCCACAGATTACTTAAAAGAAACAAATAATAAATCAAAGGGATTTGGGCAGTGTAGTATTAAACCATTGCTTACAGGAAATAACAAATTGAAGTGATTTAGGCAGTAAAGTAATAACCCATATTTTTTATAAGAATACATTATTAGAAATGGGATGGGGAAAGTTTACCCATCTGGCTTTTAAAATCAAACAAGGTATTTATTTGCAAATTTTTATTAATCAAAGTTTTTATAATTTTATAATAATATGTTTTGATTAGAAAAAAATAAAAACAAAGTATGAACTGAAGCTAGTGGTGTAATTCAAAGGAATGTGTAATTAATTAATATAAAGAATCAAGTATCGCTGTTTTAATGTATTTTTAAGAGAAATCTGGAACAAATCCTGACACTTTTAATTGTCAAAATTTTAAAGTAATGTCATAAAAAAATGTCTTCAAACATTAACGTAAAATTACAGTCACTATTAAATTTTTTAAGGCCTGTGTGAATCCTACTAAAAATCTTACCACACTGATTAACGATGTTTTTCGAAACTCTTGCGGCAAGGAAAATAAAAAAAGCCATTGAATAAGTGCCTTACTCTTGAAGCAATGCAATGATTTTAAATTATATGTATGATCTTGCTGTGAAAAATTATCTGAACTTTAGAACAGACAAATGACTTAAATATTTTAAAAGTTATTAAACTTTCTTTAAAATCAACAATTTTGCGACATTTTTCCATCTAGATGAAAATTATCAAAATCTCTGCCGTATTCTCAATTTTTGCAAATTTTTATGAGCCTTGTTAATGCAGCGAAGGAGTAAATTTTCAAATATTAAAAAATTAGATCAAAAAACGCTTTTCATTTTCACGTAACTGTGACTTTTCCCCATATTGACGTTTTGTGCCATTTTCACAATAAGGGTGGACAGCGCAGCGCTGCCTTTAGAGAGGTTAAATTTGAATAAACAGTAATCAGTTATGGTTACAAACTCACAGCAGTAATAAAAATAGCATATTATTCGCAAAAAAAACATCATTTCATATTACGACGGAGCCTTCAAAAAGCAATAATATTTATAATATTTATAATAATAATATTTGCCACTACAGCCCTGAATCCAATTTTAAAATATTGTCAATGCAATTTGAATTTTTTAGAGTTGTATTAAATGTCAATGTCTTCATTTTGTTAAAATTTTGTAGTTATATAATGTCTTCAGTTTCTCTGTGATTTTTATTTCTTTATTCATTTTCTTGTTCGCATCAAATTCAAAAATGTTTTCTATTTTTGAAATCTGTAAACATGGTCATAGTTTGTGAAACCAATAAACTTTTTTTAAATAGAAATCTCTTTCCTTTTTTTAAGTCACCATTATCAACGCATTCTAAACAACTTCCTGCGGAATTGGAGGAGATTTTTACTAAGTACAATAACCTTTATGATTTACCATTATATTTGTAATTAATACAATTTAATTCGCAATGATTTTAGTTACTACTATACATGAGCATGCCTGCCAACTACTGCTCTTTTTTAACGTATTTTATAGGGTGGTCAACATTTAAAAACTGAAGCTTTCGGAACTTTCGGTAATATTGCTAACATTTTAAAAGCTGCACCACAAAGAGATATGTGGAATTGCATATGAACTTTTAAATTGTTTATATGTTGCGGTGTAAAAGAATAAGTTAAAATGAGTAAAATATAAAACATTAAAACACTTACTTAGCTGCCCCTAGAATAATTTTTTTATAAAAGACAGTTCTGCATAAAAATCAGAAGCCGTAGATGGCTGACAGCTGAATTAACCCATTACTTGCCTACTAGATGGCAGTCAATCTTTTGCAGACATGAGAAAAGTGACTAAGCGTTAAAAGTGGAAGTTATAGAAACTAAACTATTTCCCTCTAATGAACCACTTAATTTCAAAATAAAAATATAATCTAATATTATCTAATAACATTTAATTTTCTAAAATATTAGAATTACCAACTTTCCACATTTTTTGGGAAAATTTCTTATTGTCAGGGCTGGATTACCCTCTAGGCCAGACTAGGCCTTGGCCTGGGGACCCCAATGATTAGGAGAACCCTTAAAATGGATTTTTTTGAAAATAAATTTTAAAAAATTAAGAAAAACAATGATTTTTCATATTTTTTTTAAATGTTATGATTATTTTTTAGTTCTAATTTAATAAAATAAAGTAAAATTTAATTCATTATTATTTATTTTAATTTCAAATATGCTTTCTTAAATGAAAAGACATATAAATACTTTTATATTTCAATAAATAAAAAATATACGAGAAAAAAATTTATTCTGAGGTCCCCAAAAATTTGAATGGCGTAGGGCCCCGCGTTCGCCTAATCTGGCTCTGCTTATTGTAGTAGCAAGTTAATGTTTTATACGATTCTTCGTTTTGTAAATTTGATTTAAAATTATTTTCCACATTACTACCAATAGAACGCCACTTTGTTCCAGCTCTCTCTAAGAGGTTTTTAAAATATTGGCAAAATTGCCAAAAAAGCATTATAAAAACTTAAGTTTATATTTATTTATTACTCGATAAAATATTTTGCAATTGGCATAGTTCTTGGCAGCCTCCTGATTTTCGCTGGATATTTCTTCATGTTTATTTCTGTATATATTTGAGATGCCAACTTTCTCCGCTTTGTAAAAAAAAAATAATAATTTTTTTAGTGGTATTGAAATATAAGTTAATTTTAGTTTAGTATATTTCATTTCAAATAATTTTTCCACCACTATACCTGTATATCGAAAATTAAAGCAACAGATGAAATGCAACTTTATATTCATCTTGTGGTTGCACTCCAAAAAAAACGCATTTGAAAAGTAAACGCATTTATCCTTATTCTGCTAGTTTTACTATTTAATTAATTACCAATTTATTAAGCCTTTTTCAAAAAGCGGAGGAGTTGGCTTCTCTGATATATAGTAAGGCTCCTATACTATGAGATTCTAATTCAGGGGCTCTAATATATAGCAGCAACTAATTGTATACGTCTATCTTTTTACCGTAGTTTAACACTTTAATGAGCCATTTACTTCTAGTAAAGGTAAATTAAAGTATTTTTGGAATTGAAATTGTTTTAAGAACAGTAATTGATTTAAGAAAAAAAAACTCCTTTAGTTTATAAAAATGCCATTTTTTTGGTGGTAAATATATTTAACACGACCTATTAGGAACTTATTGACTTTTATTTTTCTTTATTTATAAAAATAAATTTCATAAATGCTACAAACTTCAAAAGGAATTATGAATTTTATAACTTTTGTACGTTTTTTTTTAAACTAGCAAATGGTTACCAATTTTATTTAAACGCACTTCAAGAAAGCTGAAGTTATTAACAAATGGAAACCTAAATAAAAAGTGGTGGTAAGTAAACTTCCAATGGCCATCGAAAGGGTTAATAAAGTTGATATAAAATGATTTTTACAACCACTACACAAATAATATAAACATTTGAAATTAATCAATGAAATTTCCTGCAGTAATTATTAAACTTATTAACTATTTGAATATTTAAAATAATTCCTGCCTACAATTACTTATTCAAATCTTATATAACTACCACTACATACACCGCTCCGGATAGTACAGACTATTTTAAAGAAACGTTATGGAGGTAGAAGGTAAAATTTGCAGTTTTCGAGTTGAGGTTGTGTATTTTTAAATTTCTGCACGGCTTAACTTTCGCTTGTTTGTTCGTTGTAGTGGATCTGGGCGTCTGAGGCGGCCCTTTGCGCAGCTTAACCACCGCCTCCTACAACTGAAAGCCTCCACACGGTTTTTCATAGATAGTCCGATCAGACCACTACGAAGGTAAATCAGCTAATGAACGAGTCCTTTAATAAAAAATCTAGTAAAAATAAGAAAGTGGTAGCAAATATATGTCGAAAATTTGTTTAATTTTTGAATATGATTGGTTTGTCTTATTTACTTGTCTACCACTACAGATTCAATTCTGAAATATATATGAAACATTACTCTCAAGTACCTTTATAAATAGAATTTGAATTCATGCGCACGACCGGTTCACTTTTAAATAGTCTGCGCAGACTACTTATAAAAAACCGTGTGGTGGCTTAACTGCGACAAAGTGACGCCTCTTATTGGTCTTTGAATAATTGAAAGTAGTGGTGAGTAAAAACCCTATAAATGGAATTTGCTAAATTAAGAATCATACCTTAAAAACTACCACTCGGAAATATTTATCCGCTGCCTGGAGCAAGTTGGCATCTCTGCAAAGAATCTTAACCAGATATGATAATATCTTACTCTTGTAAAAAAAAAATGACATATTCCCTAAATAGGGCATAAGACAGATTTAATCAAAATTAAATCCTGCCAAAGTAATTACACCTTAAAATAGTAAATTACACAAGGATATTTTTATTGCGGCTGCCAATGAACGAGATCATAATAAATACAAAATCAATTTAACGATACATTTCTTTTTACTTCATTCGGAAGAATATATGATTTTTAAGGATTGTGACCAAAGAGCATATTCAGCTGGTTTAAGAATTTAATACTTGCAAGTGATGTCATCATAAGCAAATCATGGCATTTGTCTATTCATAAGCCAATCAGATTCGACACACGAACGTGATGTCGCTTTCAGGCATCCAATTAAATCTGACTAATGTCACAAGGGTAAGCATAATCACTTCAGTTCTTCTCGAGTTGCAAGTACCCAATTTGCACTTCGTGAAGAGGAAGATCATTGAGATCCAGACCAGGGGCTCTAATCCATGCATATGACCTATGATCTCAGCGCCAGATGATCATTTATAAACAAGATGGCGTGTTAAAATCGAGCTAAGTCTGTCCACATGAGTTAGAATATTAACTAACGTGAAGTATTAAAATACTACGCCTTATCGCACATCGAATTTGTTAAAATATAATTATTTCTCTTACGCCTTTTACTTAACTTAGATTTATTATTTGTTTAAGCAATTTATTGTAACTGTGATATATTTTTGTTTTGTGTACCTGGCAACTTCGATGCATAATTAGTTTGTTTATGTTCTACGTTGCTTCATGTCTGTCTTTGTATTAAGTAGGAAATATTCAGTGAAAAAAAATCGAAATCTTTGTGAAAGAAAATAGAGTATGTCACTTAAGAGAATTGACACTTGACGGGCTTAGCTTACTTAACACTTTCACGCCGGGGTGACCCACCGATGGGTCACGCTAGATTGTCACATCTTAGCAGCGCACCGGAGTAAAAACTAGTAACAATAAATTTCATTTTTTAGTTTTTTTCCGGGAATAATAAAAATCCATAACTACCAATTGTTTTTAACGGTTGCAATTTTTATAATGAATTTCTTCTTCGCTGTGATAAATTTCCTTACAGTGAATTGCTATTAATGAGAATAGCTAAACTCCTCCTGTATATTATCTAATATTGAAATAGTTCTTCTACCAGTATTTTCTCTTTTCCCGCACCAGTATTTTCACTTTTCCCGGAGTGAACGTGTTAAAATAGAATGGAAAGAACAGTTGCTAACGAAAGCAAATGCCGCGTTTCAACAACCAATCAGGATTGAGACACCTACGTCACTTACAGTTATCCTATTAATCCGTGCTATGAAAAAGAGACAATGAGATTTTACTCTCAAAAGTTAAAATTTTCAAAGCTGATATGAGCATGATTTAAAACATCATCTGAATGAGAACTTTGTGTGAGAAAGTGTAAGATACTTGTTTGATAAATAAAGAAAATATGGACGAAGATACGGCCAAAGAAAAGGGTTTTAAGATTTTGAAATGCAGTAACTATTGTTGCAGTTATATTATCAAATATAGATTTACTTATTTATGTAATTTTTCAATTATGAATATTTTTTAGCTTCTATTAATACTAACTAATCAAAGTTCGACCCATTACTCGAGCTAAGCTCAAACTAAAGTGTTCTGAAATTTTGCATAGCTTCCAGCTGTTTCGTGGATTTATATTATAAAATTTACAGTGGTAGTGCAAGAGCAATATAAGTTAGCACTATTTTTTTATTTACCTTGCACTTAACACATTTATTACGTAACTATGAGCTTTTACGTACAGATTCGAGTTTCATTTTGTTATCGTGATCTGTGTCAAAATAATTGCCAAACTTCCGGGCAGAAACTAGAAGAAAACATCACAGAAAAGGACCAACTCGAAACGGATAACTCGTAGCCACCCCCGGGCAAATATTTAGATTTTTTTTTTTTAATTTGCCATTTTAAAATCTGTTTGGCACCTTGGCGATTGTAGTTGGAGCGACAGATCACAATATGGAAATATCCCCTATCATTTATCATTTAGGAACTTCATTTTTAAAGTAAAGCAATCTGGTTCTAGAGTAAAATCGGGGGCCATTTTGGTTTGGCGATAATTTTCATTGAGTTTTGCTAAAATCCCATTTCTGGTTACCATGATATACTTTCTTCTTCGGGTTACTGCAACTTTTGCTTACCATTATGTGATTGATTCTTGGTTTACTTACATACATATTTGTTTATTTGCAAATCGCCAAAAAAGAGTAGGAGGATTGTAGACTAATACCAAAAATCATTTTATGACATAATTATTTAACTAAAGTAGAGCAATAAAGAATACATTTTGTTACCATAACGAAAATTCTTCCATTAAAAAAGCAAAAAGTTGTCAACTAGGTAAAAATTAGGGTATTTTATTTTATTTTACAACCGTCGTTGAACAGCTAACCTAATTATTTGGGTTTGCGACTGCTAATGTTCAACTCCGTAAACTTGTAATTTTGAACTCAATCCAAAAAACAAGGAAACTCCTGGATCAAGTAATGGGAGAAATTCGCCTTCGTGGAGTACTTTTTGATAAAACTAGAGAAGCATTTGCATTACATGGAGAGGAGAACAACGAAAACCTCCATCGGTTAGCCTAACAGTAAGAGGACTCTAATCCATGAGGATATTCCACTATCACTGAGGATATTTTAAGTCAGCACTGTGGTCTGTGCTAACCGGAAGTGGAATTCGTATCGACCAGACATCACTGGGATTCGAACCCGGTTCTGCTCGTTGGATGGCGAACGCTCTATCCCCTGAGCCATCACGGCTCAAAATTAGAGTACTAGGTAAAAAATACATATAAAAGTGTCCTTAATGGTAAAAATTGGAATTTATGGCAAAAATTGCGTTCTGTTTACATGCAGTCTCTTGCCAATTAAAATATCACCAAAAATAAAACGTAAAGCATAAAAGAGTTGTAATCCATATAAAATGCATTTTATATAAAAAATAAAGCAAGGGAATTTCGAAAAAATGGAGGTGCGCGATTTTTGGAGTAAAAAAAAAAATCAACTTCTCTCATTAAGATATTTCTGTGTGGTTTGCCGCAAATGAAACAACATCACCCAACCTGGCGATAATCCGAGGCAAATTTTAAAATTTCATCTACTATCATTTAGTCGTATACTTGTTTTTTCTGTTTTTCGAAGCTTTTTCGCCAAGGAAAATAAAAAAGCCATTGTTTAAGTGCCTTACACTTGAAGCAATCCGGTGATTTTAAACTATACAGACAATCTTGACGTGAAGAATTATCTGGTCTTTAAGAGAGACAAATAAGTTAGATATGCTCGTTAGTTAGTATGTTAGATAAGTTAGATTGCTGTGGACTCTTTGATGGAACTAACCCGCATTCGCGTTACATGAACAGTAAAGCCACGAAAACCTCCCTCTGTCAGTCCGACTGCAAGGGAACTCTAACCCATGATATGTCAGCCACGGAGGATGCTTTAAGTCATCACTGAGGTCGGTGCTAGTCGGCGGCTGGGATTCGAATCAAGTTTACCTCATTGGAAGGCGAATGATCTATCCCATGAGCCACCTCGGCTCAAGATGGCGATTTTGTACGAGTTTCATTCCCATGTGACTTGAATTCAGCATAATAAGACTACGGGGAGAAACTTTAATACATTCACGAAACCATTAAGGATGGGCTGGCGAACACTGTAGATTCGAAAAAGGAATCATTTGGAAGATCTTTTTCTTGTAGAGTATAGTGTGTGCATAAAACGAATATAAATTTTATTTTTGTTTATCTTTTTCCTCTGCTTAGAAGTTCAAACTCGTTATGTAATTGCTATCATGTGTTTCTATTGTGTGGTCAACGTCACTGTATTAAAAGTGAACTTGAATATTGCCCTCGTGATGATGGTGAAAAAACCTGTCGGAGAGTTTAAAGTAACCAACGTAACAGAGAAAGGAACAACCTGCAAAGAACTTTTAGCATCTGTGTCCAATCGGACAGTAAAAGAAGTAAATATGTAAACTAATACTTAATTATGTAAATTCAATATTATAGTTTAAAAAGCTGGTACTCAAAACAGCTTTTTTCCAGATTCTACAATCTCTTCAATTTTCATCCAGTTTACTTACTCTCAACGTTTAACCATAATGCTCAAGCTAATCTAAGCATTCAATTTACATACCTGTGTAATACCGAACTACTTACACTCAAGTTCTGTTCAACGTTGAACCACAATACAGGTGCAATCTAAGCATTCAGTTTCCATACCGGTGTAATACCGAACTTTGATATTGGTGTAATACCAAACTTTGATATTGGTGTAATACAGAACTATTTACTCTCAAAAAAATTCGATTCATCGTTGAGCCACAATACAGGACACATTGGAGACACAAGACACATCGAACATCGTTGAGCCACAATCTAAGCATTCAGTTTTCATACCGGAGTAATACCGAACTGTGATACTGGTGTAATACCAAACTTTGATATCGGTGTAATACAGAACTATTTACTCTCAAAAAAAATTCGACTCATCGTAGAGCCATAATACAGGTGCAATCTAAGCATTCAGTTTCCATACCGGAGTAATATCGAACTTTGATACCGGTTTTAATACCGAACTACTTACACTCAAAAAAGTCGATTCAATGTTGAACCATAATACCCGTGAAATCTAACCATTCAGTTTACATTCCAGTTCAATACAGAACCTTGAATCATCAGACGAAGTAAACTCTTTGCTACCTTAATGGAGGTACTTGAGGTAATGACTTTCATCATTCTGTTCGGAAGAAATGCTTCAAAATGATTTTTTTTTATTTGTATTTGTTTAACATTAGTCAATTGGGACAAAAAAAATTAAAACAATTCTGTTTAAGATTTTACCACCTTTTCTTAATATTTAATTAGTTTTTACAAGTAAATTAATCAACGTGAATGGCATGTGGATTGCTTTAGAATCATTATCGAATCAGCGTTCTCTGAAACTTGTTTATTATTATTATTATTATT